CTGATGTAGCCCTTAATCAAAGCCCAAAAAATCATCAGATATTTTGGATCAGCTTTGAAAAGCATTCCATCTTTTGAGCCCAATTTGAACCGTGGCCGATGTTTTTCCTTGCCCTTTGAAGGGTTCCCTATTGCTTGCGTCTGCGTAGGACTTTGATGCTCTTTCTCAGAAGCTGCAAGAAAGGGAGAAGGAACTGCTGACAGCTGAGGGGGAGCTAGTGACCCGGCAGATTGAAACTCATGGGGCAGCCATTCATGCAAATCTAAAAATCCAATACATGCCATGAAAAAAGGAATCCCTAAGAATGATGGGATGAGCAGACCCCACCATTTTCTGACCATGGCGCATATGTTTTGGAGTTCAAGGCAAAGGCCAAGGGAGAAGTGCAAGAGCTCAGGCGGAAGATCCACCATGTGGATGCGGTCTTTTTGGGGGCGTTAGTTTGATGTGTGATACCACTGGAAGTGCAACATTGGGTCATTTCAAAAGTATAGTCATCCTGAAGTAGGTAGAATATATTAGAATATCATATTTTTAAGAATCTTCCAATTTTGAGACATATCCGTATTCTCCGGGATGACTTGGGATTGCACACCATTTTGTTGGCCTGGGAGTTGGTTTTTCAGCGTGCCAAGTGCCTGTGTTTCCTGAAATAGATGTACCCTAGAACCATGAAACATGAACAAGTTTGGATGACTGGTGTGTTCGATTTTAGGGCATCACCAGGTAACTGATGGGAACAACCAAGGGTTTCCTCTCGGACAGGACAAAGCTGGCACTGCGAGAAAAAGAAAAGAAAGACCTGCTGCAGGCATGGGCAGTCTGAACCGATGTTGGTACCTGGGTTTGGTACCTGACAATGGGAAAACCACCAATTCTGTCAACTTTTGGATTTATTTAATTAAATTATATATAATCATCATTTTAGGATAATCCTGCAAAAATGTCACAACTCTGGTAAAAGAACACAAAAAATCATGGTGAATGATGATTTTTTACCGATGACAATGGCTATTTAAGACGTATCGCCGTATCAGATCAGCCATTTTCAGACCTCATGGGGCCAGACTCTAGCCCAACCCGCTATGGGTGGTCAGTTTTGCACAGCCTTTTGTCAATAGGGCCAAAGCATATGTGAGTTCAATGTGCCGTAGATCTCAACAAACCTGTGGATGAAATCCACAATTTTCGTATGGACCCAGCAATTTCGACTTCTGATTTTGAAAGCTCAACGCAGAAGTGCAGCAGATGCAGGACGCCAAACGAGATCCCTTGCCCAGCGTCTCTGAAGTGGAACTTGACGAAGTTAAAGGACAGTTGGCCAACGCCCTTCAAGACGCTCGGCAAGGAACTGCAGTCGACTGCGTGGCCTCAAGGTCCTCTGTAAACAACCCAATGCCTCTGATACCTCTATGTGTTAGACAGACATCTGCATCCATATAGATGAAAGATATAAGATACATTATTGACATAGTATCATCATTATTCTATATAGCACATAAACATCATATCAAACCTGCAAATATGGATATACATGCACACAATATAGATATAGATATATATATATTATAATTATATTATATATATTATAAAAATATAATTCAATATGTATTATACATCTACAACAATCTTTACATCTCCAGCAGTATTTCCGGCCCTCCGTCCTCTCAGGACTTGGCCATAGCCCGCTCGCAGGCGGAACAGCTGAAGCAGCGCACGGAGGACCTGGCCGCCATCCCTTTTTTTTTCCCAACGACGGGGGGTTGACCTTGGAAAACCCCTTGTTTTTTTTTTGCCGGAGGGGTTGTTTTTGTTTGTTCTTGAATTTGGAGATGTTTTGAATTGATATGTGATCTATGGATGGAGTGTGATAGGTGTATAAATGTATACGTGGATGTGTGCGGATGTATGCGGATGTATGGGCATACAAAGAAGCAAATATATGTATTTGCAGCTCCCCCGAAGCTACTAAGCTGCAACAGTGAGAAAGGAACTGGAAGATGCTCGGAAAGAGCTGATGGAGAAGGATGTGAAGTTGGTTGAGACAGACAGGCTGGGACCCGGTCTGGTTGCTTTTGGTGGAGATTCTGGTAAGATTTTGGTGCTATCTAAGTAGTCCTTTGTTGTACATCATGTTTGGGTTGTTGCGCTTGGTTGATGCTTACAATTTGAACCGCCAAGTATACAGACAACTTCCAACATACTCTTGCTTAAATGATAAATCCCATTGCGCATGTATCCCCACTAAATCTCCGTATATCATCATATATCTATATCTACGTCATGTCTATCTCTATCTCTATCTCTATCTCTGTCCATATCTATATCTATATCTATATCTCAATCTATCTATATCTCAATCTATCTATATCTCAATCTATCTACCTATCTACCTATCTACCTATCTACCTATCTATCTATCTATCTATCTATGTATGTCTATCTATCTATGCCTATCTATCTATTCCTATCTATCTATGTCTATCTATCTATGTCTATCTATCTATGTCTATCTATCTATGTCTATCTATCTATGTCTATCTATCTATGTCTATCTATCTATGTCCATCTATCTAAAAATATCAATCTATCTAAAAATATCTATCTATCTAAAAATATCTATCTATCTAAAAATATCTATCTATCTAAAAATATCTATCTATCTAAAAATATCTATCTATCTAAAAATATCTATCTATCTAAAAATATCTGTCTATCTAAAAATATATATCTATCTAAAAATATCTATCTATCTAAAAATATCTATTTATCTAAAAATATATATCTATCTAAAAATATCTATCTATCTAAAAATATCTATCTATCTAGCTAGCTTTCTAATCTAATCTAATCTAATCGAATCGAATCGAATCGAATCCAATCCAATCCGATCCAATCCAATCGAATCGAATCGAATCCAATCCAATCGAATCCAATCCAATCCAATCGAATCTAATCTAATCTAATCTAATCTAATCGAATCGAATCGAATCGAATCTAATCTAATCTAATCGAATCTAATCGAATCTAATCGAATCTAATCGAATCGAATCTAATCGAATCTAATCTAATCTAATCTAATCTAATCGAATCTAATCGAATCTAATCTAATCTAATCTAATCTATCTATCTGTCTATATATATCCCCATATGATCCCTGTATCCCCTACTGTGTCCCCGCACGGTATCCCCACGGTATCCCCCGCATCCAGGCCTGGTGCCACTTCCAGCGCTCCACCGCAGAGTCCGGACTCCGCGGCCTCCTTTGAGGTCACCCCCGCGTATTGGGCCACTGGGCAGATCTCGTCGGAACTTCACATTGGAACAGTGGTTGGGACTTTGCATCGAAACGGATTTTCAATGAATTTCGTGTTTTGGGGTTGATGTGCTTGAGTTTGATATATTTTGATTTTTTTTGATGTATCTTTGAGATGTATCTGTGTGGTTCTCAAAAGTTATTGTCAACATATGCGGAGTTAGGGGAGTCAACAGGGTGTCGATTTTTACAGTCCCAGAGTCCATATGGGTGCGGGGGAATCCACATCCATAAATTCCAGCTATGTTGATGTCAACAGAAGGGTACTAGGATGAATTGATCCATAACCATATTCGAGACTCTCTGGACACAGCGAAAATATGTATGTAGATTTTTCTGATTTCCCAGGTTCATTAGGTTTCTTTGAATATATTTTTGAGATGTATATTTGTGTTCGACATGTGATGTGATACGAAATTTTTCTATGTCAGAGATGTCGCATTTCCATCCCCTCCCAAGGAACATGTCGAGATCCATGCGCTGCAAGAGGAATTGGCACAACGCGATGCGGAGCTGAAAGCCTTGCGAACGGACCTGGCAGCAGCATATGCCAAGCTGAAGGATGATGATGATGATGATGTTCGGGCATGAATTGTTGTGACGGGGATTTCACGAACGTGGGGTATAAAGCAACCGAACATAATGCGGAGCGGTTTTTGGAATGGTTATGTACTGGGCTTGGAAGGTTGGGTTGATGATTACGCATCATTTATATATTGTTGTGTATTTCTAAAACTTGATGAGCCTGCAAAAAAAGGGTTTCTATACGATTTGAATTGGCGAAATTGGATGATTTCTGAGGTTCCCAATTCCAATGCCTGGAACCACTTGAACCAGTTGATGTTCCACCTCCACTTGTAGCATTCTCCGACATGAAACTCACGTTGCGAGGAGGGTGACCAGAAACTCAGGGTGACCGCGCCCAAATCGGCAACCACTCTGGGTTTCCGGCTTCAAAAGTGGTTGGTCTATGAGGTCGTGAAGGGCAGTTGGGCCGAGTCTGTTGGGTTGAAGCTGGGTGCCTTGGTTGACGCAGAGGAGTGGGGAGTTGGTCAAGACGATGGCCAAATCTATGGGCTTCTTCCGGGCTCTAAAAGATCCGGAATCTTATGAAAATCAACGAAAATCATCTTGAACCTTGAGTCTTAAGTAGCCTTACATGAAGGTTGACTTGTTCGGTCCAATTTTTTTGGGGAGATGCTAACATGAGACGACATATGGAAGATCGCCTAGGGTGAGCATGGGGAATATCAGGCGGTCAGTGGATTTTCGGGTATGGTCTGGCTGAACATACCCCACAAAAGGATGGAAAGAGGGAAGCTGACAAGCCATTAAATCCATCTAAGATTCTAAGATTTTGTCAATTTCACATGGCCAAGAAAGGCCATACCCAAGGGCTTCGGGCTTCTCTCAAAACTTGGAACTCTCAAAAAACATCGAAGTCCCGTGGTTCAAAACTTCATGTTGCACATTTTAGGGTTGCTGCAAGCCATATGGCTAAACGATAGCCACGATGCTCAGGGAAATTCATGAGACCGAGCAACCAGGCGACCGACTTCAGCTGGTGCAAGAGATGCAGGTGACGAAGATGGGCAAAGAACAGCTGAAGGAGGTGGGTCCCATTTCCCAATGGGATGAACTTATGAACCAGTCATGGGGGAATTCATGGGAATTCGATAGGGTA